TCTTTTATAGACATTTCCTTACAAAACTGTTGAGTGCAAAGTGGCCATCTGCTTTTCTAGATCATGGAATATTACCTACCCACTTTCTAGCATATTTCTACAAAGGGTTTTTTAGTCTGTATCCAGCACTAAGTGAGGTGAGACTCACTTCTGTACGAGGAGTTGCTAAAGTCTCTGATTTGACCAATGTCTTTGACAGAAAAGATTCCGCTGTCACCGAAGAAGTCAGATAACCTTCTCTGTCTGAGCCCAGGAAATAGAGTCCTTGCAACAGAAAATGAGATGAGGCATCAGTAATGTTATTATACCAAGCACGTACTTAGCTCCAAAATAGATATTGTAAGTCAAACAGAGAGTTTCATCAGATTCATTACCAATCCTGTTTTGCTGATTGCTCTTTAACAATCTCTACCCGCAGCCCTATTATCTCAATGAAACAGTACGCTCATGTTTGCAAAGCAAGTTCTCTAAATAGTAATTGCTGCAAGAAGTACTGCAGTGAAAGCTGGATCTATAAAGCCATTAATTGAACTAGGTTTGGGGCACAACAAATGATGTCTTGGTCTGAACTTGCCAAGGTCTTTTGCTGGGCTGGCCTGGAAGTAGGATGTAAGCATCCTATAAGGAAGAAAAGGTGTTATCTACATGGAAATGCTGCATCCTCTCTACTCTGAAGTTAATATCATTAGCAGTTCCAATCAGCTTGGAGATAAATCTGTTTCCATATTGGCTTGGGAGATAAATCCCAAATACATCATCTGATGCTCTTTTGACTCTGTAAGCCATAGACAGCATGAGGCTCAGCTACCTGAGAGCAAGTCGCTGTGAGTGCAAGAGCCCTAGAGCTACATCTGCTTGTTCCCTGGTAGTCCCACAGCAACGTGCAACATGCGTCGCTTTCCATGGGACTTTCTTGGTCATGAGCCAGAGCAGCAGGTCCTGCGATAACAACAGGTATTTTAACAAGACAGGCCTTCAGCACTAGCCATACCAATGCTGTCAAACTTGCTTTATCCAGTCATTTCTCCATTTTCCTTAACACAGATATTCAAAAGCAGAAGAAGGTGGCCATACCACCAGAGCTATGAGTATGGCTTTTGGAACTTCTGCAGTCCTCTGCAAGAAACTTAAGGGCCTTTCCATGTCTTGTGGACATACTCCATTCCTCTACTGGCTTTGTGGAGAATGAAACTGCTTCCCCTTATTTCAGAGGAAAAATATTTTACATTTATTGTGTCTACAGTCTAAGAGAACGATAACCTATCCAAAGTGGTCCTCCCATCCAGATGTTCCATAGCACAATGAGTGTTACCTAGGATTCTAGTAGTGGTGGCTACTGATTTCAGGTAGTCTGGAGTATCCCTCTGTAGGCAATTCACTGAACAGCTGTCAAATATCCTTTAAACCATGATTTCTGAATCAAAGAACCTTTTGTTGAGCTTGAACCCACTCAGATCTTGTATTTTTTATAGAAAGCCTTGCCTCTGTTTCTACAAGAACTTACTACCTCAGGAGCATTTTCAAATGATGACAAATGCTTCTACTGCAGTTGAAGACAACCTGTTACTCCAATTAGAATATCCTTAGCAGTTTTGAAATTAAAACTGGTCACACCTTTGTGAGCACTAATGCTAAGCTGAATCTTTGGTGCATAAGGATTTGGCAGCTGCCAGCAGTTTCCACACCAGTCAACTCCTTGCAGCAATGGCAAAATCTGCTTAGTGTCTACACAGATATCATTTCATCTTCTTCTGTACAGCTCAGTCCCTGTCTCAATGAGGGCTTTGAGTAATTAGAAAACCTGAGTCTCAGGGCTATATAAACAACAATGTGATACAGCTCAGGGCTAGCACACTCAAGCAGTGACAGTCATCAGCATCAAGATAACAAGAATTCAGACTTGCCATACATCTGCCATGTTTAATGAAGCACTTTTTTTTTCCCTAATCAATAGCTTATTGTGTAATTGCATTAAAGTCAGTGTCTAACTGATATTTGGACCCTTTCCTCAAGTCAATAGAAATATTTTTATTCAATTGTTTGAGTAGGAACAGAATCAAATCCTTGAAACCGAAAGCATCAAGGTTGTTGATCACTGAGGAAGTCACGATACTCAGTAAATAATAATTGGCTTCTAAATGGTAATGTAAGAAGCAGAGAGGCTGTTGAAAGAACATTATGTGTAAGTATTATACTCTTCCTTTTTATGGAACTTATCACTGGATCTCAGTGCATTGGGGTGGTTGTTTATCTAAATCCTTCTCTTTTATATTCCATGTAACTTCAATTTGCTAATTATAAAAGAGGAATAATAGAATTTCCCCATCTCACAGTACTGCATAACTCAGTTCTTTCACAATCTTGAGATGCTCAAATATCACGGTACTAAGGAAATAATAATTGTTTACAGTCACAAAGGCAATAGAAGTAAGGATCATTGTATGAAATCCACAGTTTTGTTGTTCTCATGCATGTCACAGAGTTTATCTGTTAGTCAGAGATAGTCATTTATGCAAATAACCCAGGTCTAAATTTCCATGTGTTTTTGCACTTACCAAGTGGTCAATGAGAATGGATAAGGAGGCTCTTATTCAAATATGTGAGAATGTAAGCTTTGTGTCAATGCTTAAATGAAATATCTGTTGAAGAAAATAGGACATACTTGAGGACATACTTATACAAAGTAATCCTGAGTGATATGGCTGGATTTACTGAAAAATAAGAACTTATCTGTAAGTTAAAGTGCTCAGTTTCGTCACATGGCATATTATTCTTGATGTCAAAGACATTCCTTTGTCTATATAGCAGTTTTAGAATAATCATTGCAGAAAAATCTGAATCCATTAGAAAGAGTGGGCTGAGTAAATTGCATAATCTTCTTTTTCAACATCAGTTACAGTTTTTTCATCTCTACTAAAAATTTCTTCCTGGCAAAGCCAAAGGCAGGATAGAGCTTGCTACCCAGGAGTTTGTTAATTTTCCCCAGTCCGCTTCAGAGCAAGAATTAATTGCTGCTTCTTACTCTGCCTTCTTAAATTTCAGATTTGTCAACATCATTTCTTATACTTACTCTGTAATATTCTGTTTATTTAGTTCTTTATATTCCAGAAAAATATGCAAACTGTGTTTAAACCTGATGGATAATATAATCTACTTTCACCTGATTGCAAAAGGCATGAGATCAGAGCAAATAATGAGACCCTAAATTTAATTAATCAAATGAGAGCAATTTGTTAGTGGTATTTCTTTAGAATATCCTAGTATTTCATGTCATATTTTTCAAAAGTGTTTGTCTTAAAACATTGTGTTTTTATGGTGTCAAAGTGATCTCTCTTTTGTGTTACAAATTAGAAAAAATTGTCAACAGTCCTCACTAGAAAAGCATGTTTCTTCATCACTCACTCCTGGCTAGGACTTGTGATTATGAAAGCCGTAGAGGGCTCATCATAGGTATTATTTTAGTTTTGCATGTATCAGTATATACTAGGTACTTTTTAAAAGCTTTGCAATGGTCTAGAATTTAGAAATTTTATATAGTTCCACTGAGAAAAGTCAGTACATTATTTATTTCAAAGCACTAAAATATTTGACCCTGAATAACAGATTCCATAAATAGCTATTCCAAAAGTCTCTTTCCTGAAATAAATCCTTACTGAGGAGGAATCGCAGTTGTACTCTTCAGTGGAGTAAACTGCTGACATGAATATTTCTTACTTTATGGAATTTAAGCAAAGCTTTTTTCTCTCTTTGTCTCTCTTCAAGCCTGTTAAAAGAAAACAGCTACAATTTTTCATTGAAACCTGGTTAGACATGTTATTTAACATATATATAAATAAATAAAATACATAACCTCATTGGTCAGAACATATCATATTTGGAAACAATCTCTTAAAGTGATGACTTTGATCAGTGGTAGGCATAATTGACTAGATGAACAGGTTATTGATGTATCATCAGTGGTCTGTCACGTATTTCTTCTCTGCTTACATGGAGAACAACCTGAAGAATACTTAGAGTAGGAATACCTTTTGGATTTTTTGTTATTTATTTAGCCTTCTCACCTACCCCTTGTGGCTTAAGGCAGTTGACTTGAAATATTTTCACATGTAGCTGAGCTGCAAACCTGCAAATTTTTTGCCAACTTTTCTCTCACTTTTTATGGCAGCAGGAGGGGTGAATCCTTTACAAATTAGCTAAATACCTGTGAAATACCTCCCAACTGGAGCCTGCAAGTCCTCACATTACTTACTGAAGTAATTCCTCACTCATTTTTCACATTATCAATTATTTGATAATGATGAAACAAATAAAATTGAATTAAGTAAAATAGGGGCTGGAAAGGGGAGGGAGGGATTAAGAGAGAATGAGAAAGGTACAAAAACTGACAAGCAGGTGACAGAGAGAAAGGAAGATGATAGTGTGAGGGATGGAGCCTTAACTTACAATTAGAGAATAAAAAAAATAAACTAAGGAATGAAAAAATAATTAGAAAGAAAGAAGTAATTACTGAAAATAGAAGCAAATAAAAATGGTCTCTTCAATAGGCTTGGAAGTATTGCATTCCTTGTGAGTTAATTATGGATAGAATAAACCTAGAGATGTTAATGTAAAGTTTGTTTTATGTGAGTACTCCTGTGTAAAAGTTTATTTTTCATGACACTTTTAGAAGGCAAGTACAGAGGCTATTTCAGCACAGACAATAAAATTGCACTTCTTTTTAAGTTTATGACCCTTATATTGTATTTTTTCCTCGAAAGAAAAAAAAAAATCCTGACTTTAACTTTCCTGAAAGCTACAATTTCTTAAAGAAAAATACTCCTGGAATAAGTGAGTCCTCAAAATTTTAAATGCATTGGTATAGATATCTTTATCAATAGACCGGATGCAGGCAGCTTTGGCAATTTTGATTTTATAAAAAGAACAAAAAAGAAATACATCAACAAAAATAATTTATAAAAAATTAAAAAAAAAAAATCATAATTCTTGCATTTTCTCCTCAGACTGGAATGGGACACCTGCGTGTAACAAAAGAAGGCCTTCGTCTAGAAGGGGAATCAGAATTCTTGTTCCCTCTTTATGCCAAAGAAATCCATTCTCGAGTGGTAAGCAGATAATCTTTCAATAATGCTAAAATAAAATTAATGCACTTATGAACAGTTGAATTTAGGCAAAGTCCAGGCATCTGTCATGGAAATATATATGTGTGTGTATGTATATAAATGCATATTTTATGAGCGTGATCATTAGGTCAATGTCCTGATGCCATGGCAGAATTAACATTTTTTCTCTTAGGCAGGTGATAAGAAGTAGCTCTAAAAGGAATTATAAAGGTCATTGAATATAATTGATGCTAAGTTTTGAGTGTGTAGAAAGTTTTTCATTTTTTTTGCCGAGATTATTTTTTAATGCAGGTTTCCTTGTGAAACTGCTTGTTTTGTTTATTCAACTGTTACAGAATAGTTTCAATATATCTAAAATTAGTGGATCCCATTGGAAAAGCTATGATTTCTCTAATAAGTTCAGGTTTTGTCACTTCTACGACAATGATATTAAATGTATGATATATTTAGATATTGATGTATATTAAATCTAAAAGACTAAATGTTAAGATACAGGATTTAATCTTGTTTACATAGACAGAAAATGTTATTATTATTGAGGTAAAAAAAGAATAACATACTTGGTCAAAAAAATACTTATCGAGCAGAGTAACTTTAAAACGGCAGTGAGAATGGTTATGGTATGAGAGATTTTTATTGAAGTACTGGGTTTAGAGGAAGGAAGAGAGAATCTGAATTGGTTTTTAATTATCCAGGTGAACTCTGAAACTTACTCCAGTGAATTTTTTGCAGAGCAATATTTGTTTCTGGCCAACAAAATGAATATTTTTCGGAACTGTCATCTGTAATCCAAAGTCTCACAAAATAAAACCATGTTTTATGAACATTATCATCAACCAATGGGACATTTCATTGAAGAAAATACTATTCAATGAGAGTAAAATCTGAATATGGGCCTTTCATTACTTCAAATGTAATCATCCTGACAAAGAATAAATAGCCATCTATGAGACTTTTCTGAACCTAGGGAAAAAGTTAGTGTTGTATCACGACAACAAGAGAAAATGTAAATAAATTTATCAGAATGAGGTTGCTAAAATGCTTGGTTGCTGAAATTTAAGCAATGCAAACATATTTTAGCTCTATTAAGCATTGTTTTCCCTCTCTTTCTGCAACAAATATTTCCAGTAGCAGGAACAGCTCTTTCTTAGATGGTAAAGTTCCATTACTAAATCTGTATTTCCATGTTTCTTATGCTGTATTCTTTTCTGCCTCATAGGCAGTGGGAAAACTATTTATGTGCTTAAATGAATTTCTCTTGAGGTTGTTCATCCTATAAGATGTGTAACTTTTTAAGACCAGCATAGCTAATACTTAAGAACTTCCTCTGCCCCAAAAAATCATTATGCAATGTTAAGCTACCATTTGTGCTCTTTTAATACTCCTTGCAGCTCTTAATACATTTAGTATGATATAGGAAGAGGTGTGGCAGCATCTAATATAAGCTTAGCTGTCTAATGAACCATTGTGATCATTAGTAGCATGCATTAATTAGAACCTTCAGGCTACTGCATGCCTCTGCCCCCCTATGAACTGACAATTCATCAGAGGTTTTTTTGTTTGTTTGCTTGCTTGCTTATAAAAATATTTGAACTCTCTAGAGGCTTAATTGCCTGTAGCTTGATCTCCTGAGTGCCATCTATATATTTATTCTCATAAAGTTGCTTATTTGTTATGATTTCTTTTTCTAAGTTTGTCTGTTAGAAAACTGGGCCACTCACAGCTATCATAGCAGCTTTCTCCCTTGCCTTAATACTTTTCTCCTTGCAGTCTCCTAACAGCTTTTCACACCTAATGAGGTCTCCAAAGTGCTAAGAAAATATGTAGCAGAATATCTACTTGCTGTGCATCATCTCTGGAGCCTATTAAAAGTTTATGCCTTCATTATGAGTCCAACACAGAGTTGTGGGCAGCACCATTGCATCTTAGCTAATATATATTCATGGAAACATAAAAGCTGAGCATTTATAAATATGCTACTAGATTTTAGTCAACAACACACATGTGGAAACTGCGGGTTTAGAATACAGTTTGTTCACACTTACATTTCATATTACAAATTAATAACTTATTTTTTAAATCAACCAGCAGCAGGCAAATAAGTGTAATAAAGATACCCAGATTTGTGGGTCATTTAGCACATGTACTTAAATGCAATATATTTACCTGATCTTTGTTGACCTTCCTTTTTCACTTCATACTAGCTTGTTACCTTTAACGTTCATTCTAACATACTGCTTACCTTTTTCCTAACACATTTCATTATTGGTATTAATTCCATTAGCTTTCATGTTTTCCTGATACAGTTTGCAAAATGAGATTGATTTATTTTGCTCACTTACTGACTTTTGAGACAGCCTGTCCTCCTAATTGTAAGATAACGGTTTTTTAAAAAGTATAGGTTGCACTCCAAACTGTGTATTGCTTCTACCACTGATATTAGATGAGTGTTTGTGGTAATATTCTTCATGTAAAATGAGTTCAAAATCCTCAGGTTATCTCATACTTCCCATCCCCCTTTTAAAATAATGGCAAGCTGACGTAATTTTTTTTCCTGGAGGACAGAGTGTATCCACGGTCATCGGCATCTTTTGCTGAAGAAAATGATTAGTTAAGATTTCAGAGGCAGGAATTTGGAAAAACTTTTCCTGAAAGAAAACAGAAAAGTATGAGGTGTTGGAAAAGGAGTAAGAAATTGTTAGCCAGAACCCTGACTGCGTGTTCTTTTATTGTTTAAGGAACTTAAAATTATCTAGATAAGTAACAGAATAACAGCAGAAAAGATACAGAAAAACCCCAATCTGTCTGAAAAAATAAGTCTCTGTTTCAGTACCCTTGAGTATTCAGGGACTACGGCCACCTGGAGAGCACACATGTAGGTCTGTATACATAACCAGCAGATACTCTGCATGCACCTCCGTAACCAGACAATGTTATGGCCAGAGAGGATGATCAGTCCTCCTCAACGGCCGCTCACTGCAGTGAGCAGAACATTTTGAGAGGAACAAAGTCACTTGGAAGCAAGGGGGCATACTAAGCATTAAATTACAATGGGAACATGACTTGGGAGCGATTTTCGGGGGTTAGTCCTTCAAGGGGCTGCATTGTCTCTCTTGAGTCCAGAAGAAGTACCAGGAGCCATATACGTGAAAGAGACTGATCTTTAACAATATTCCAGTAGTTAGAAACTTGCTTATTTATCTAGGAATGAGTATCGTCTCTGAAGTCCCAAGCAGGCAGCTTGCTAATACTCTTTGTGTCGTGTATTCCCTGATACTTTGTCAGCTGAGATCTACTTAGGCACTTTTATTGGTTACTAGGTTCCTGTCCTTTAGATGCACAGTATGCTTTAGTATGAAAGCACCTGTACTGCAAACAACTTCCTCCCCTCTTAAGTCTACCAGTGTGGCTACCGTTTGCTGATCTACACGAACGCGATCAGATCTTCTGTCCACAGATAATTTTCTGATACTTAAGATCAGGTAAAGTGGCCAGTATGATCTCCATGAAAATTAGCTGCATTTAAAGACAATTCAGGTGGTAAATTGAAGAAAACCATAAGAAGAAACCACTCAATGCCCTCCTCACAAAGTTTTAGGACACTTGCAAATGAACCCTGCCAGGTCTCTTGCCATGAACCGGTTTCATTACTGTCTGTATATCTAGTCTGATGGGGCACAGTGTGCAGCTAGGTCTTTCAAAACAGTTACTGATCTGCTGTTCAGGACAAGGAGAAGCCTGGGGAGGCTCCAACGGGCCTGAAGTACAGAGAGTTTGAATGGCAAGTCTGGGAATAAGTAATGGAAATGGTACCTCACCTGGGAGGGGTTCAGCAAGCACAACACCAAGCCATGAGTGAACACAAGGGGATGTTTTGGTGAAGTAACTCCATGCTGGCTGCAGCCTAAGAATGACATGAAATTTTGAACTGCCTACCATAGCTAGTCTGGCTTGTGGTGAGGTGTGGTAGAGGTGAATGAAGATACCAGTTGCACCTGCTCAGTGTGCCCTGGCTGCTGTAAGTAGCACAGAATGATGGGTAGGCATGAGGCTCTGGTTGCTCTGCAGATGTCCCAGCTGTGATGCAGCCTGTGAGGAGAGTTAAGTTGAATGTGAATGCCATTGCTTTGTGACCTGCAGATGTGATTTTGTACACTGGGACACCAGATGTGTATTAGGCTCAAATCATGGTGGAGGGATGTGGAAAAGCCAGTGATGCTGATCAGACTGCTATACTTCTGTCATCCTGAATGGTGGACAGGGAGACAATTTAATTTAGACTGACACTTTTATCTGTATGGTCATCTATTAAAGTCAGCTTTGAGCTAGTCCACCTGCCACTTTCTCCATCATCCACTGTCTGAGTTTCCTTGCCAGGAGAGTCAGGGCCAGGTGCCAAAATCAAGCCAAAGTATACAGGCTGCATGGACCATTGAGGAAGCAGAATGCACATGCATGTTTCTCACCAAGTTAACATGACAGTATGAACTTGCAAAGGGAAGTACTCACATTTCAATTAAATGGCTGTCTTCTAGGAGTCTCAATTATGTATTGAAATGTAGTAAATCAGGTACTTAAGCATTTTTTTCCAAAAGATAAAAGGTTAGCAACCATGTTCATTGGGCCAGTAACACAGATTTTGTTCACCTGAAGTATTCTCTATAATTTTTTTCTAATTTTAAATCTGATATAGTTGAAGTAATAAAAAATATCTTTCCAGATTATTTGATGACACCTATGGCTGGTCTTGTAGATGCAAAGCTCTTTCAGTGGCTGCATGAATATGAATACTAGACTAAATTTTGAAAATTGTTAACAATTCTAATTATTCTGCTGAATCTACTGGATTTTTTTCTGCATACTTCAGGACTCATCACTGCTTCTCCAGTCTACTCACAATGTGACTGTGAATGCTCGCAATTCAAATGGGGAAGTCACAGGCAGATTAAATGTGGGTAAGTCTAAGTGGTTTTTCCTTGTTCACTGTTTTGGAAACTTTGTAATGAATATTTGCAAGGAGCTTCGAGGATATAAAGCACTAAACGTGATTATTTTTTTACTGTTATGGCCATATTTGAATAGTCCAGCTGCCACTCAATAAGTACCAACATTGTATTTTCAGTTTCTCAGTTAAGAGTTAGTTCTGTAAGTATTTGAAGCACTTCTTTATTGAAGAGTTATGCAAGAAGGGTCACTGCAGAAGTTACTCTTGTGTAAATATCTATTGATAGTTGCAAATAATTTTCTAAGAAAACGCAACAGGAGAACATGGCTAAAGAGGTTTGTGTCTCTCTTCATTTCCTAGTATTCCAGAGACTAACATATTTAAGCAGATGTCCTAAAAAAAAATCTCCATTCAAACTCAGAAACGTACATGTTTTACTATACTTGGAAGCAGTAAGATACATTGTTTTACTGAGTGAAATCAATAGATGTAGACAGATGTAGGTGATAGATCTTGGCAGCAAGACTAAGCAGACGTTAGTCTTTAAATCATATTTTTATGGCAAGAATGGCAACAATATGTTTCTTAGTTTTGTAACAATTTTTCAACCTTTATTTGACTTTGGTGAAAAATGTAACAATTTAACAACTTTCTTCCAAGATCCTCATGCAGCAAGGCTAACCTGATATGCTGAAATAATTTGCTAGATTGAGACCCAGTTGTGCATTGATGAGCAACTTTTCCATGCTGATGAGACTGTGTAACTTCTGTGACAATTACTGTTTGAAGAATTATTGTACCAATTCATTGAGCATTTTTGCAGGCTTCACTGCTTTCAAACAAAATTCAAATAAAAACATAATTTCAAACTTATAAAGGAGCCTGCTATTTCTCTTAAAAATGTATAATTATACAATAAATCACAATTTGGCCTTTAAATGCTTTCAAATATCTGGTTTTTTAATTCAAGCTATTCAGAAAGCTCTGAATTTTTCTGCTTAAGAAAATGCCCCTAAATATTAATCAAAACATGATAGTAGCATTCATATCTCATTTTGATAATAATTAAAGGTATGGAACATACAGTCTCATATTATTAGTGAAGTTATTAATTTGCAGAAATTAACTACACAGTGACCACATGATCAAAAACTAACACATCACATGATCAAAATTTATGTGACATGGCACATATGCTGTTGATTCTATCTGCTCTGTGCTGTTGTGGTTGCCCATCATGGACCAGATGTCTATCTGCACTGTGGTCTTGTGCCCATCCTGCCTGATGAGAAGAAGTCGTTAGGAGGTCCTTTGGGAAGGGCAGACAACGGAGCAGATCATTGACCACCACACTAATTTGTCAAACCTGATCCCTGCTGAAGTCTGAGAAACTTACAGGTAAACTCACGTCAGACAGTAGCCCAAAGGCCTGATGAATTGTTTGACAGGCTGTGTCCAGCCTGCGTGACTTAAAACTGCTAATAGGAAACGTGTGCTATAAAGATGTTAATGAATATTTTGGTCCCATATTGAGTTTAGGCCCTTCTCAGATGAGTGACCCCATCATCAACAGGTGCTTTTGCATGAAAGTGGAAAAAGCTGCTCTAACTTCTGTCATCGTATTTTAATATACTCATGATGCAGTTAGGGGGCTGTGTCCCTATGGAAATAAGGCACCTCCATATTTCAGGCTGGAAACATTACATCCCTTTGTCAGGTGGAAGGTGCATTGCTTTTCAGACGATGATTCTGCATGAACAGTTAAGAAACTTTGCGGTAAAAATATCAGCACTGAAGAGTGATATAGATGAATTGCTCATTTGGGCTTTGGCACCTATAGCAACTGAGGTCCATAAATGAGCAGCCTGAGATATTCACCCGTAGTGTGTCTTGCCTGTTAACAAAGAGAGCTTCAGTGCTGGAAGCAGTGTAAAGGATATTTTTTACTGAAAGGAAAGATATTTTAGTTGTGCCAGCCAATGGGTATAGATCATACCTTAGGAAAATTAAGCCTGTCAAAAATAACAACAAATCTCAGACCATCTTTTCTTTTTTCTACTTCCCAGTCACCACTTAGTCATCTTCTGAGAGCATTAACGAAGAGCAGTACAGAAAGTGAGATGGAATGTGCTGCCTTAAATTAATAGAAAGTTAAAAATACCTGCTCTATAGGGCTAGAGACATCTAGATTGAAGAAAACTTGTAAACTGAAGACCTGGTATACAGAAGGGTCAATATGAACCCGCATTGTAGAATACGGACTGTGGTGTTTAGGGGGGAGAGCTCTGCTGAATGGAAGCTCTCTCATCAGCAGTGACTCATTTATAGCAAGTACCACCCATATTTAGTATTTTCCCTTCTTAGTGGTAGCTTGATATTGTTTCTCCACGCTTCATCACCTGGCTTTTCTGGCTCTGTTCCCAGTAATGTGCAGTTCAGTGGTTTTTGTACCTTATAATCTAAAGCCTCTTTAATCTTTTCCTAAGGGAAAGCCAAATACTTAGTGTTGTCCAGACAAAAAGTTGTCTGGCTGTGCAGAGAGGCTGTATCAGGCTTAGGCAATATATGAGGAAATCAGTAGGAAGGAGCAGAGTGTAGACTGGAAGACCTGCGTCTCAAATCTTTTAAAAGTGTTCAGTATATAAAGGCAATTCAAATTCAGCACTGAAGCAGAGAAGTTCTGACAGCACTCTGGCTTGCTCTACAAGAAATACTTAGGTAAGAGAGTGAAATAATGATTTGAGCCTGGGAAAATCAAAACTATATCAAAAGGAAGTGCTAAAGTGCATTTGCATATTATTTGAAATATTTCATGTTTAAGTAATCTCTTTTTGACTGGCAATTCTATTTATTGAATTCATTAATAATGGGTGCTGTCTGGTGTAGTTGGTACCACTGTAAATACTAACATGAAATACTACTAATATTAAATCATAGTAATTTTAGACTGATAGAAAAGTGTTGAAAGATCAGCAAAAACTTAATGCTCTAAAGAACTCTGTTAATACCTAAAGATATGGTCAAACAACAGTGACTGGGATAAGTGACAGTCTGTTAAAGTAAATGACCATCTATACATAGCTTGATATTTTTAGCCATTGTCCTTAGCCAGTCATAAAATGTGTGCATGTAAAATGGTGTTTCCTTATAAGAAGTGTGAAAAATAGGCATGTGACTGATTTCATTCATATGCACAAGCCTTTGCAAAAGAATTAATGCCTTCCACAGTTGCCAGCATGCTGGGATTATGTCTTAATACTCTCTTCATCTTATAAATATGAGTAGTTGCCATTGTGAAGGAGGTGTATAGATAAGTTTGGGAAAGTTCCAAAGATGGCAATAGCATAAGAGCATAACAAAAATACCTTTTAGCTCATAGAAGATTGTGATTCAAATGATCTGTTAAAATACTTTAATAAGTTACAGAGAGTGATTTAAATGCCCAGTCTTCAATAGAAGTAATTCACAAAAGAGGTGGAAACAAATCTTTACTTGAGGAGTTTCTGTGAAAATCCTCATGTGAGGATAACAGGCACATATTACACAAGAATGAAAAAGCCTTCCCTCATGAAGCCCAGATACACTAAAATGACATCAAATGCGAGCAATTTCCACCATGAGCACTCTTGGTTTCTACATGCTCCTCAGTTTACACGCATGACATAGCTCTTGGCAGGAGTTATCTGGACATTGTAGCTCTTTAAAAAAAAAATGCTGTAGATCTTCCTGTGTTTTGGACTGAGTTCCATAATTATGCTGCTTTCAGAAGACTCACTGAATGCAAATACATTTAACAGCTTGCTAGGAAAAGAATGCTTTCAAAATAATAGGGATCATAACTAAACAACCAAACCAATTCCGTGCTTTACTGTTTTTTGACTTCAGTATCCCTCTGGATGACAAAGATACCCATTTTGTTTGAGTTGCTCTTTAAAATCATTTAAAACTCATATATGACCAAAGAAACTCATATTAAAACTCAGTAAATAATTTTTAAAAAATAATAATTTAAAGCAAAAAAGGAAATGGGACATTTCCTTTGGGGGACATTAGTTAAGGGATTATGGAGATAAGATTGCTTTGGAATATTTCTGGGAGAAATGAGTCTTTAAAAAAGGGTGTTGGCCAACAGACAGCAAGGAAAGAATCTAAGCAAAGCACAGAGATGGGAAGGTACAGGATTGAGAGTCAGGGAATTAAGCAAGCTGTGGAGAGGGATGCTTATAGGCAAGACAAGGATGTCTACAGAACAGATGGTGTCTATTTTCATTAGAGTAGCTCCTGTCTTTAAAATCATGAATAAGATTCAGATGTCATTATCGCAGCTTGCTCATCAACCTTCAAAACTGTAGTATCCAGAACTTTCTTTGATAATCCAAGAAAGCAGTTGAAGCATCTCCAAGATTCTTCTTCTTACTACTTCAAAGACTTATTCAATCCTAGAGTAAAAAAGAAATGTAGTACCTTTGATTTATGCCCTGAACCATAATAAAGCAACCTAGTGTAAAAAATTAGTTTTCCAATAATAAATAACAAATATATAATATATATAAAAGAAATATATAGAATATATAATCAATTATAAAATACTTAAGAGCAACGTTGATCTCAAAAGGTAAATGATGCTTCACCTAAATAAACATATGTTTACATGTACAGCATACCAGCAGATGAATGTAATACAGTCAGACTTTTCCAGGGCTGAATATTAAGAAAGTAGATGAAGAGCAGCATGTTTCCAACTATCTTTACTGAAAAGTAGGTCCAGTTTTTGAAAACATCTGTTTTTCAAGGATTGTGTAAGGAGGCTTCAACCTACAGAAGACCGTAAGTTCTGTTTGTAATATGTCTTTCTCGGCAGAAAAAAAAAAAAAAAACAAAACACAAAGGAAAGAAGCTTCCAAAGTCATGCAAGGTCTGTGAGAACAGATTGCAGTAGAGCAGACTGCTGGTCCTCCTCCTAGTTCAATCATTTACACCAAGAAACAGCAACATCAGTAGCTTCAGGTC